GAATAAATTTGGAATCTGAGAAACAGTCATAGGGAGTGATCAAATGGGAGAATCTCTTTTCTAAGGAAGAGAAGAGGCATGAGGTCATGTGAAGATTAAGACTTGGGTGCCAACCGGGTGGTGGTGACACACGCACTTGGGAGGCAGAGGTAGGCAGATCTCAGTGAGTTCAAGGCCAGCCTGGTCTATAAGAGGTAGTTCCAGAATACCTAGGGCTGTTACACAGAGAAACCCTGTCTCGAAAAACAAAACAAACAAACAAAAAAAGACTTGGGTGCTGAGGTTTTGCACTGCCTGTGCCAGGGGCACTAACTATAAAACTTCCACTACTGCCCCCACTCCATGGCTTTGCTTGGGCAACTCCTCTGTCATAATTCCCATTACCATGCCCCAGGTGACTCAGAAGAAACCTCGCATATCCAGAGAGTGCTATGGTGGTGACGAAAGGAATGCCATACACTTGTATCTAGAAGGTCAGAATCAAAACGCTTCAAGTCCCTAGAATGAAGGTAACAGTTACATTAATATTTTAGCCTCATTTAAAAAATGTTTCACTGTTTGACAAGAATTCAGACCTTTAAGTCTCCTAGTTTCTTTCATAAATGGATAAGGGAATTTACTTTTGTCAGTTTGTAAAATATATTAAGTCACCCCAGTCTGAGACTGACCATGAAGTGTGTATTAATTATGTATGTTTATGCTTTCACAAAATAAGTAGTAGATAAAAAAAAAACATGCCAGCAAGATGGCTGAGCTGGTTAAGGCACTGACTGTGCCAGCCTGGTGACCTGACTTCAATTCTTGGGACCCACTTAGAAGTGGTAGAAGAGACCTCATTCCATAAAGTTGTTCTTGAACCTCCACATGTGTGTTGTGGCATGTTGGATGTCCACATGTGTGCTGTGGCATGTTGGACCTCCAAGTGTGTGCTGTGACTCACACGGTATTCACATACATGCACACAACAATCATAAGTAAAATGAGTAATTAATTGAAAATCCAACCAACAGAGAAGACAAATTCAGACTCATACATGAGACAAAGGGCAGCTGACATGACTTCATGAAACTGTGACCATGTGCTGACATGTGTGTGATCATGTGCAACAACAGGCACTGTGCTTCAAGGGGCGGCCCCTCACATGTTCTCCAAAGACAACATAACACTGGAAAGAATTCCTAAACACAGCATAAGAAACTAAACTCTGACCCTGCATCTTTTTGTTTTTTTGAACAGGGTATCGCTATGTAGCTCTGGCTGTACTGAAACTCAGAGATCTGCCTGCCTCTGCCTTTCAAGTCCTGGGATTAAAGGTTGGTGTTACTTTGCCAATCTTGACCTTGTATATTTTTATCCTAATAAACATGAAAAATTTGAAAAGCATAATGTTGTTTTTTTTTTTTCTGATTCCTTTTCTTTGCTTTTGCTTGGTTCTCTGTGCTAGGTTTTTGGTTTAGAACTGATGTTATCATAAGGGATATACCGGGGTAGATGGGCAGACTCGCTAAAAGCATATGAGCAGTAACAAGAAAAGAAGAAGGTATGGAAAGGGTGAAAGAATGTAGGAATAAAGGCCCTCCAGGAATATCCCCATCCCTGATTCCATAGAGCAAGAGATCCATCATAAATGAGGCAGCCACCCAGCCTGAAACCTAATTACATTTCAAAGTATGACCTGACATGAAAGAAACAAAGCAGCTATAGTGTGCTTACCAGATGGCATCTCTAAATAGAGGAATATAAATCCCTCTGTTTGTTCCATAACTAAAGATGAAAAGGACAGAGACCATACCTTCCTATTCAAATCATGGAAAAACGGAAGAGCACTGTGATTAGGTTTGGAAGAATCAGCCTCAATCTAATAGTGATTGTGAACCCAGAAAGGGTCGCATTCTAGGTGAGAGGCCAACTCCTAGCCTGCATGCAGGAATTCATTCCCCACCGCCTACCTGTTGTGACTGATAGTCATTCATCGGGAGAAAGACAGAAGGATATTGTGCCAAGGCATCTGAGGAAAGCTAAAGAAATGCTTTAAAGAAATCATACCATAGCTAGTGTTCTTGCTTGGTATCTGCTGCCTGCCGTGACAACTACCAAAAGCAAATCGGAGAAAAAAGGGTTTGATCCAACTTCCTCTGCAGGTACCCGTCCATCCTCAAGGAAGTCAGGGCAGGAAGTGAAGCAGGAAGAAACCCTGAAGGCATGCTGTGAGCAGGCTTGCCTCAGGGCTCTTGCTTAGCCAGCTTCCTACATAGCCCAGAGTCCACTTTCAAGTGAATGGTGCCTTCCACAGTCTGCTGCATCCTCTTAATCTATTAGCAATCAAGACCATCTCCCACAGACGTGCTCACAGGCCAGCCGTCTAAGCAACTCCTCAGCTTAGACGTCCTCTTCCCAGGAGACTGCAACTTGTGTTAAACTGACAATAAAAACTAACTAGAATGGTTATTGTATATCCTGACCTTATATTTGGTAGGTCAGTGTTTGACTGTGGGTACAATTAAGACCCTGGGCCCTGGAGTGACACACAAGTGCGCCCAGGCTCTCCCACAGACTGGCTGGATTGTACTGAGACAAGTTCCTTATCCAGTGAGTTAGGCTGCCAAGCGTAGGTAGCCAGAGTTCAGTTACGGGTATTTATTTATGTCAGGTTTCGGCACCTTGTAAATACTATGTATACAGGCTGCTTATTAACAAGAGTAAAGATTATATTAGCAACAGCAACTAAATCATCCTGCTCTTGACGATTTGTCTCACAGCTTCAAGGTGGACCACAGCGAGGCTCCGTAGGAGTGAATGCAGTTCTAGGTGGAGCTCACTGCTCTGCTTTTGCAGGGCTCCCCAGAGCTCTCCAGAAGTGCCCAGAGGAGGGAGGTCTAGGGAACAGTGCTCGGACATCTGTCAGAGCAGAGCCGGCCCTACCCCGAACTCCTCAAAGACTTCACTCTCATTACTCTCCATGGGATACAGAGAACCAAGTCAGGCTCTTTTTACTCTAGCTAGCTAATGGCAATAATGGCACGGAGTGGTATGCCCACTGACAGCATCGGTACAAAACCGTGATAGCTTCAAGTGTATCCTAGCAACGAGGAAGTGCTACTAGGCAAGCTTGTCATTCAGAAGCAGGGCAAATACTTCAAAAACAGTAAGATGAGATTTGAAATTGCTTAATTATGGTGTATATTGCCATGTGGGTTTAGTCACATAAACTCCCCCTGTAGTTATTTTGTCCAATTTTGCATGAAGAAAGAGCCACTTGCTGGGGCTGCTGTCTTATTATTAAAAGTTATCTATGCTTAATATTTATGCAAGTGATAATTTCATTTTTGCATATCATTATAATTAGAATAAAATAACAAATCTTATTTTACTATTTTAACCATTTTAAAGACACAGTTCCATGATATCAAATACCTCAACAATTTGAGCGAACCATTCCCACTGTCCCTTTCCAGAAAGGAGTCAATACCCCAAATAGAAGTTCTGCACTGATTACACCCCCGCCCCCATTGTGGCGATCCTAGTGAGGTAAGTATTCATTTACTGTCTACCTTTATAAATTTGTTCATTCTAGATAAGAAAAACAGATGGATGCAGTCAGTTAACATTTGTCTCCTTCTTCCTGGCCCATTTAACAAACAATCTCTTTTGTACATGAATCAGAATTCCACCTTGTTGGGACCGACAGGTACTCACTGGTACACATATACCAAGCATCCTGTCCACCCATCCATGTGGACAGCCTTTTGTAGACCATGATTACCACTGTGGACATTGGTGTAGTAGCCTCTGTTCTTGAGTTTCTGATTTCCTATCTTTAGGGGAGCAGTGTATCCAGAAGTTGTGGGTCATATAATTCCACACTTATTTTCACCGTACTTCCTGTTTCCATCAGCCATGGATAACAATCCCCAGCTTGTACTCATTCCCACCAGTCACTGCCCACATTTTTGGTAACAGGCATGCCAAAGAATGTGAAGTCCTCGCTTATTAAAATTAGTTCTGTCTGTTAACTATCAGAAAAAGAAAAACAAAAATAAATACACAAAAAATAAATTACTATATGGCTGACTCACCCTGTATGCAAAAGACTACGGACATCTGGTGTAAGCCTCCAAGTGGATGGTTATAAAAAACTATGATTATATCTGTAAAATTTTGAAAGCAGTAATATTCTCCAAATGGGGTGATTCTGAGCTTTAGAACTGCAGTTTAAAACCTGCAGCAAATTCTTGGGAAAAGGGTCTATTCTCGATCATTACATAAAGCAGCCTGACGCTAAGAGATGTAATTCTTAGCAGAATGCAAAGGTTGCTCACTCCCAACCTCAGGTGAAAGAGCGGGCTGCCTTCCTCGGCGCATGCGCAAACCCATGCTAGCGCTGCGTGCCTGCGTGCGCGGCCCCGCGACGTTGAGGGGAGTGGCCACGCACCTTGGCTTCTGGGTTCCGTCATGGCTGTGTCACCCAGCGCGGTTCGCCTGCAGCGCTGTGTGGTGTCGCCGGCCGGGAAACACAGTGCCTCGCTGATCTTCCTGCACGGCTCAGGTGCAGTGCACCCTCGTGGTCTCTGTCTGTCCAGCGTGCTGCGGCTGGGGAAGCACCCTCTCCTCCGTCCCCCAGAGCTCCCTTGGGCTCCGCCTGCACCCAGGATCGGGAGGGGGGCTGCCACCTCCCGGGAGGGTGCTCTCTTTCTCCATGGCAGTCTTTGCCTTTATCTTGCTGCCAGGAAGTGTCCTTGTCCCCTCCAACCACAGCATGGTCACCTGGGCAGTCTTTAGCCGATCCCAGGTTCAGGCACACCAGTCCAACAGTGTGAGTCTCCAGGTACAGGGGCCAACTACTGTTTTCAGTGTTGACCATCCGTGATCTGACCTATATACTCAGGCTCCACAGGACCCCTAGTGCAGTGAACTTGGAACGCATTTACAGCAATTGTCCTTTCTGCTTGCCATCACAAGGGTCCCCATACACTTCCCACCTGTCCTTTTTGATGTCTTACCTTCTTGATTTCCTTTTTTGTCCACTCATTAAATCTCTGAGGTAAGTACAAAGTCATCTCCATCTAGGGACTGCCCCTAAAGAAAGAATAAGAACCCGTGTTTTAGTTCTTGCATCCACAGTTCTTGGCTGGCCCAGGGTAAGTTCCCAGGAAAAAAAAAAAAATGCTATTTTTTTTTTAATTTTCTTTTAAAGAAATGAGATCCAGCCGGTGTCCTCAGGGGGCCTACCTAAATTTAAAAACAAAAACAGTTCAATTAATTTGAGTCAGCCGTGGACAGGGGATCACAAGATGGTGCCTGAGCTACTGCCAAGTGAATAGTAAGGAAAGGGAAAAAATGTAGTTGGACATTAGTAAGGCATTTGCAACTGAAGGGCTTGTTCGAGTTTTCCAAGAAGGCCTAGTTTGAGCTGAGACACATGCAGGCTTAAACTGAATGGTGGCTAGAACACCCAAGGGATTGGAAAGAGTGTTAGCAACAATGTAAGATGGTCTCTTCATTTCAAAACTGGGTCTAGAAACGTTTGCTGCTGCTGTGAGTGGCGGTGAAGCTGGGATTTGAACACAAATGTTGGATTCACAATTATTATTCTGGGTGGGAGGGTGAGGGGAACCCAGAGCTATGATGTATCGCTTTGGAAACAGAAGATGAGGGTTGAGCACCTGTGAACAGAAAGACTTGGCTGATGACTTATGGCTTTATAGCCAGCTGAGCAGTGCTTATTCAGGACCCCGGGAGTGATCAGTGATGAACATCCAGAATTCCCACATACTAATATCTTCTCATAATTAATTCAGTGTCTTTAGAAAGAACTAGAATTCGTTCTGTTTTTTAACCCCTCTGGACCACTTTGCTTAATGCTTCCTATTTTTCAATTTCAAATCACTGACATTTTTATAACCTATAATGCATGTCTGAAATCAGAGTCATTCATTCTGAGTGTATTTTACACATTGTACACGTGTGTATGTGTATGTGTGTGTGAGAGTGTGTGTATAAAACTTTATTTTGTACTTTGGAAGAAGAGTTCATCTAAATAATTCTTCTAAATTATTCATCTAATAATTCATCTAAATAATATAACTTATTTTATATTATTCTTATACAATTAAATCTCCGTTGAAGTATAAAAGACTCCTTTCGGCACAGGCCTGTCCTTTTAGTTTTTATTGTCCTCTCGAATCAGAGTCCCCTGGGGAAAGAGAGTCTCAATTGAGAAACTGCCTAGTTCAGGTTGGCCTGTGGCTTTGTCTATAGTGAATGGTCTTGACTGTTGATTGATATAGGAGGTCCCAGCCCACTGTGGCCATTGCTACCCCTGGGCAGGTATCCTGGGACATATAAAAAGGCTGTTTGAGCATGAGCCACGGGGTCAAGCCAATAATCAACTTTGCTCTGAGGTTTCTTGCTCTGTTCCTATTCAAGCTGCTGCCTCCACTCCCCCTTGGTGATGGACTGCTAGCCGGGAGAGTTAGTTGAAATAAACTCTTTACTCCCAAGTTGGCCTAGATCTGTTTTATCACGGCAACAGGAAGCAAACTAGAAGGAGGCCTTGGCCCTCCAGGTTGGAAGGCAACAATTTCACATTGGACTTGAGCACGTGTTTGTGTTACAAGGACAGGGAGTATTTGGCCTCTGGGTAAAACAAATATAAACAAACTAATTATATGGTTTTACCATGGGTTGGACTAAGGTACTAACTTTATTTTGTCATTTAAAATACTTTCTTGAGAATTTCATACAGAGAGACAACGTGGTCCTTGTGAGTGGATGGCTGAGTGTGGTTTTCTATCATTCGGTTGTCTCTTTCACCCAAGGCTGAAGAAGTGTTTGGAAACAGATCCCATTTAATAAAGACATCTGGTCTAGAGTGTATGGGTAAGAATATGCCTGCAAGTACTAGGGCCTGAGTTTGGATTTCTAACATCCAGGAAAAAACTGGGCACCACTTCTTGTGCCTGCGACCCCACCACTGGGGGAGACAGGAGGGTCTGTGGGGCTTGCTGAACAGCCAGCCTAAAAACAGCAACAACAAACAAACAAACAAGCAAAAATCTACGAGCTCCAGGTTCAGGGAAAGGCCCTGTATCAAGGGGTAAGGCAGAAAATCATGTAGGGGGACCTGATGTCTTCTGACTTGTGCACATTTACATGGGCCTGCCCATTACACACACACACACACACACACACACACACACACACACACACACACACGACAAGGACAAAAAGATAAACTTTAACATGTTCTCTTCAGTCATATGTAAGACACACTTAGATCAGTGGAGCTGGGAAATGGACAGTGTTGGACAGCAGCTGAGCAGAATTCCTCTCTAGGAGAATCGATTATACCTGTTAACTGAGGGAAACTGAAACTCAAGCCTAGGTATGGTCTTGCAACTGATAAACAATACATCCGGATGTACAATAATAAGGATTATTTCTACTGTTTATGCTTGGTGAACTAATTCTGCCTGCTAAATCTAAACAGCTCTTTTTGGCACGTGGAGATTTTTCGCAGTCTCTTTTCCAGCCTTTAAGTGATCTAGGAGGTACAAATCCCTTTGAAACACACTGTTATGAAGATGTTTATCTGACTGTGAATTCTGTAATTTTTTCAGGTCATTCTGGCCAAGGAATGAGAGAGTGGATCAAGACAGTGCTAAACCAAGACTTAACATTCCAGCACATAAATATTATTTATCCAACGGCTCCTTCTAGGTATGCAATGCTTAATTTCACTTCTCAGTAGAACTCCATGGCATAAAATATGTGTATGTGCCAGCGAGATGGTTTTAACTTTAACTCTGTATTTAAGGTATTTTAAATTAGGGTCGTCAACTCCCACCTGTAAAAATGCATGCTTTACTTCGAAATTGGGCTCCTTGGCCAAGCTTTCCAGGTGCCGAGCCCTTCTCTCCTGCAAGCATGCTCTGCCATTCTGACTGACCCCCTTCCCAGCATGCTCTGCTTCCTGTAAGCCTGTGCAGTGCTCATGGTTTAAATGGCCCCCTTTACCTCACGCACCCCAAAAGCAAACTGAATAACTTGTGCCAAGATAGTCTTTCTGATAATTTAGTTAAGCCCAGGTTTATAATCTCTGGAAAAGAGTTTTATAACATTCTTTCCAAACTTCAAAGGATGTTAAATACTGTTGGGCTCTTTGAATCAGCAAACCAGGATAGACATGAGGCATGGGCCTACTTAATATTTAGAGTGGAAATCTGTACGTGCATCCAACAGAATTCATAATCATGGGAGTGGAATAGTTTTGAGGCCATGGACAGCTTTTTATAAATATTAAATAATCATCCATGTAGTCTTTTTCACAAACTTTTTTGCATAAACAAATATTGTATTGTGTCATGCAACCCAATCTGATTTCTCATGATCTGTTCTCATTATTTTTTTTTAAGCCTGCTTAGTATTCACAGAAATGCTGGGCTTTGATTTTTCTGTCAACCTTGTACTCTCAAGAAAATAAACCAGGATTTCAAGAAACTTCTTATATTCACCAATAAGAACTTATTTCTCTAGTTGATACAGTTATAGAACAGACTGTAAAATAGAAGATTCAAAAGTTATTTTAATATAGCTAAGCTTAGGGGGTTGGCAGCGCCCACAGATATCTGTTGGTGGATTGATGCTAAGAGCTTGTTTCCCTCTGGTGTCCGGGGTAGGTGCAGTGGGAAGGGAATGCTGACATTTCTGTAGGAACTGGAAGGATGGTGTTTTAGGCTGGTTGTAAACGGAGGTGATTAAATAAGGCGTTTGAGACGTGAGTCCAAGAGTTTAACAGTTTTTATCTCTTGCTAAGAGTTTAATGATGATTATCTCTTGACTTTCACGTGTTATCAATTGTAACTTGAATTCTAGGTCAGTGTCTTTCAAACTTTAAACCAGTAGTATTTCCTATTTACCTATCTTCACATACACTGTCATTTGTGGGTGTTTGGAAGTGTTTGTCCCTCTAGGTTTGTACTATATCTTCTTGAAATGTTTGATAGCACTTAGAAAAGTCACCTGAACTTGAAGTTTTCTTATGAGTTGTTGGCAATGCATTTATTTTCTTTTGTAGAATCAAGGTTTTCAGATTTTCTGCGCTTTTTTAAGGCAGTGTCAGGGATTTGGTGGAATTTGTCTTTGATTTCATGATACTTATTTTTATTAATTAAATTTCTGCTTACATATTTTATTTCAGTTCTGATAGTACTATTTTATTATTGTTATTATTATTTATGTGTGTGTTTTGTCTTACCAAGGGTTACTAGCTGATCTTTTTTAGAACCAGTTTAGGCTTGTCTCTTTTCTGTTTGGTTGTAGGTTGAACACAGAATCTCACTGTGTAGTCCAGGCTGCCCTAGAACTCGTGATCTTTCTGTCTCTGTCTCCTGAGCGCTGGGATTACAGGTGTTCACCACACCCAGCATCATTCTCTCTGTTACTTTTCATTTATATCTGTTAGTTTTCTTTTTCCATCCTATTTATATTAGAGCAATAATTTTATCACTACTCTAGCCAAATACCATCATGTTTTTTTTTTTCTGCTTTATTTATGTTGGAAGGTTTTCTATCATCTTCATGTTCCCTGTATAATTTTTGTGTAACAAATCACCCCCAGCAACACTTTTATTATGGTCACAAATTTTGTGGGTTAGGAACTCAGAAAGGGCACAATAGTGGTGACTCAATCCCAATTCTGTTGTTTTTGGGGCTTCTCCTGGGAAAGCTTGAAGACTGGGTGTGGCTTATGATTTGTCTGCTGGGAACTGGATCCCTCATCTGAAGGCTTACTCACATAGCTGGCAGTTGATACTGGATATTAGCTGGGGCTTTCCTGCAGCTTCTGCACCCTGGACCCTGTGTTGGGCTTCATCATTTGGANGAGTGTGTATAATTGTGTGCATGTTGATGCTTGTGCACATGGAAGCCTGTTGATTATTTTGGTGTTAAGCCCCATTAAACCTCTCAGGGTCCAGCTAAGATTTACTATAGCAAGTGAAAATCTTTATGTAAATTTGACTATTAAAGCAAAAAATAGATGTTATTGCGCTAAGGCCTCATGGAAGGTCATTCTG